TACTTTCCAGGCGCCTCGACTTCACTCGGCCCCGCAGTCGCTTATTGTGGGGAGCCGTCTTATTGGCATACTTTTTCCTACTGCGACGTTCGGAGTATTTGCTAGTCGAGTCGGGTCGACATGCGTTCTATCTCAAGGTTTCCAACGCGTACTTTTCCAGTCGAGAGGGGGAACGCGTTCCCTACAAGAAGGCGGTGGCGGTTACGATCGGATTAGCGGGCGCAAAGAACGATCAATTTGGACGCGGAGCGTGAAGAACTATGCATGCCACAGGAGACAAGATGTTCTGCTCCACGAAGGCCCTGCATCATTTACAGCAAGCCAGGAAGGAGCTTGGATGCAGTTCTGCGAAGTACCTGTGTGTGAATCTTACGGGGGAAGAAGTGACATGGACATTCAAGACCCTGGCGTTGAACGTAGGCGTTTCACCCGATAAGTATGCAACCCACTCGGTTCGCATCGGAGGCGCATCGGCGCTGCTCAGTGGAGAAGCGGATAGCCTGGAAATTAATCTATTGGGTCGTTGGATGAGCCACAGCTACGAGGACTATCCGGTACTCGCACCAGATTCGGCCAGAGGACTATCGCGACGCATGATTTAGACGAGGTAAACGACCACGACCTGATAACCCAGATTGAATCCGTGCTGAGCAATTATTCTGTGGTGCCGCTCACCACGCCCTCAATCCGGGAACGGTGACGACAATACATGATTTGCCCCCGTACATATGGCTTGTGTATTGAAAAAGTAAAGCATATTACGTACATGATTATGAGAGCAATGGCTCGTTGGGAACGATGGAAAATATTTGATCTCGAAATGCTTCGAAAAATAACTTCAGCGTTCTTAGTAAACAAGCTTAGAAGAGTACGGGATGGAAATCACCACTAAAAATATGCAGTTAGCATCGCAAATCTAACTTGGGTTGAGCTTCTGTTGGCATTTCCAAGTAGGATTGATTGTATGCACCTAGTGCGAAGAAATAAGTTTTATATCTATGTAGATGTGACATAAGTATTTTTTTCGCGTTCGGTGGGGCGAATGTTTAGTAACAACGAAAACATTTGTAAAATGCTCGCCATTAGTAGTAATATTACTGTAACCCCGGTTAGGCAGCAGGAATCGTGTGCTCCAGCTAAAATATGCAATGGCCGGTGGCGCTTCATATATTGTCGTTTTCACCCAAATTTGTAGAGACTGAAGGGAAATTAAGCGTTTTTCGAATCGATTACAGCCGCCTTTCAACCAATCAGAGGTGATCTACGTCTGGGCTTTACTTTGGAACTTCCAACGGTGAGCCTAGCAACTCCGGTCCAGCGCAGCTCTCCTCGACGCGTTTCGCCCGACGGCAACACTCCCAATCAAGACCAAGCTGCACGAGGTCCCAGTCCTCGTCGCTCGCCATACCAAAGGCGAAGCCCGCGCCTTGAGCAGCAACGAGTGGAGATATCCTCGCACGATCCATTGATCAAACTGTCAGTCGACGTACGATTGAAGAGCACTGTTAACCAGCGTCTGTCATCGTCAGGACGGATGGGTACACACAGAGTTCAATGTGACACATGGGATGAGGTGAAGATTAAACTTTGGGACATTATCCACCGCGAGTTGAAGTCATTAGCTGCTTCGACTGGAACCCCACCAGTTTGGACTTTTGATGAACAGGACCCAGCAATCGAGATGTTCGAGAAGTATACTTCAATGCGGATGAACACCAAGATGCTCGATCCATGGACAAGTGCAAAAGATCGTCGATACTTGATGAAAAACCAACACGAATCAGTCTTGCTTTCTGTCTACAAATATGGCAACGAAATTGCGATCATTGGCCAGCTTAGGGACTTCGAAGACCAGTGCATTGGTCCAGCCGCGGCCAATCGTGGAGGTGCTGCGGCAGAAGATCTCCACCAGCTCATGATCAGTTCACTGAAAGAGAAATGGGGCCGTAGATTTACTGCCCAAGATATGTCATGGCGTCTGTGGGCTTCTCTCGTTCTCAAGAAACCAAGGCCTCAGCACGAGCGAGAAATCGCCAAAGGTCCACCTCCAAACCTGGTGACTCAGTTCAGGCCTGCGTCAAACGCAAGTGACCAGCACTTACAGCGTGTGCAGCACAGTGTTAAGATGGCAAAGAAGGCCGTACAAGGCATGCAGGCAAAGATCAATCACTTCGAGCAGACCGTTCAAGTACTGCAAACCGCCATCGTGTTCATGAACCAAATGCTAGAAAATCATTTGGATGTGATCGAGGCAATGGGTGAGGATGTGGAGATACAACCGGATAGTATTGAGACAACGGCCGCATTGGCCGACATACCAAATCAAGAGGACGTCGACCACAACTAACAGAACCGGTTCGTCATCAGCGACAAGCTCGAAATCTAAGCATGCGTTCCTACTACACTAATTCAGCTTTCACCACTCGAGCTATTATCGTCGTAATCAGGATCACCACGCTCCGAAAACTCGAGCAACTCGTTTCCTTCGAATTGCTCAGCGCGCGATGTGCTCACGTACTCACCACCCAGAGCAGACGTAGGGTTAAACTCACCAGTTACGCTCCACCCACAGTGCTCGAAAAGCTTGGTCATGTCGAAATCTTGGAACTGCTGGAGTACATTTGCAATAAGTACTGCTTGGTTTTGCTTGGAACCTTCGACGTACTGACGCTTGAACGCCTTCTTGATCAAGCCAAAAAGGTATTCGGTAGGGTTGTAAATGGGCAATATGCAGGAAGAAAGATGGGAATAATCCCCAGCAACCGCAGGTAGTAGACGATATCGGGGTGGCAGTGGATCTTGGCGCCATCCAGAATCCACACAGAGCCTCTTCTTGGGTACTGGCACACACGTTTTCCTGAATGCGCATGTGCACGGCAGCACTCAGCGAACTTGGAGCGGTCAACGTCCCATCCGTGTGAAATGTTTCCACAAGACCATTCACAGAGATGAAACACAGTAGTGAAATCCGTGGCTTCAGGTTGAACTCGCCCCGAAAGGAAAGTTTCTTTCCCTTCAAGCTGTAGCCATGTGTGCGCAGCATACCCCTGTTGCCGAAACTAACTTCATCGAGGAACTGAATGTTCATTTGGCACCACTTGATCGAGCTCAGCTCCAAAGTGAAGCGTATCATATCGTTCATCTTAAT